GTGACAGAGACACCTTTAGGTTCATTGTATGCGCTTTCCTATAATTAGATTCACATGGAGTCAATCACTGGATTCAGGTGTTTTGATGTGAGAAGAAGAAAAGTAATAACATTTTCCCTTTCTCAGAAAAAGGTGATGATAGGGCCACTTGATGGCTTAATAGATAATTAATGAAATGACAGAGCTTTCTACCTCTCAGTCACTGATCTGTATCTAGTGCAGTTGCTAGCACCCCATAATTGCTATCATTTTATGATTGTTTGATGATCCATGAGCTGTCAGTCTCACTTCTCTTTCTAGTGGAGAGGTGTCCACATAATAAAAACCAGCCCCATGACAATTGGTATTAACTGATTTTATAAGCCCCAGTCTGGCAATTGGCTCTGCATGGGCAAACTCCTGTGCTCGCACAAAGTACCTTGACTTCAGTGGGGCTCTGAGTGGGCACAGGAGATACCTATATAGAGACAGTTGTAGGAATGGGGTAATAGTTGATAGTCTCAAGCAAAGAAATAAAGAACTATTTGGTGTGATGACTAAAAGATCCTGCCCTAGAAGTGATCAGGTCAGAGTTATAGCATACCGAAAAGAAAGCTCAGACTTCCATTACATGTTGAAGAGTACTTAGATACAAGCATATACAGTGTAGGAACATAGGCATACTGGATCAGATCTGTGATCCACCTATTCCAATCTTCTGTCTCTACAGTGGCTACTACAAGCTGCTTCAGAGGACAGTCCAAAAAATCCCACAGAAGGGAGATAGATGCTTGAGATTCTACCCCTATGAAAGCCTTGTGTAATAGTTGGACATGGCTAAAACCCTGAAGCATGACATTTTATATCCAGGGCCGGATCCAGGCACCAGCTTGGCAAGCAGGTGCTCGGGGCGGCCACTCCGGAGAGGGGCGGCAGGTCCAGCTATTCGGCGGCAATTCGGTGGACGGTCCCTCACTCCTGCTCGGAGCGAAGGACCTTCCGCCGAATTGCCGCCGCAGATTGCGATCGCAGTTGCGATCGCAGCTTTTTTTTTTTTGGCTGCTTGGGGCGGCCAAAACCCTGGAGCCGGCCCTGTTATTTCCCTTCCAAAACACCTTTTTAGCATTAATTATTATAACTCTGGAAACTCATGCTATCCACATAAATGTCCACTCTCTCTTTCAGTCTTATTGAAGTCTTAGCAGAAATGTCATCCTATGTCAGAGTTCCACAGTCACATTACATATTGTGTGAAGGATGGTTAGGTAGTCAGGCTACTAGCCTGCTACTTGAGTGAACTAGGGTTCAGTTCCCTGCTATGTTAACCGTCCTCCATGGCCTTCAGCAAGTCATTTAGGCCCAGATCCTCAAAGGTATTTAAGCACCTAACTCCCATTAAACTCAATGGAAATTAGACACCTAAATACCTTTGAGGATCTGGGCCTTAATCTCTCAATTCCTTATCAGTAAAATGGGAATAATTGTGCTTCCCTACCTCATAGGGGTGCTGTGAGGATAAATACATTAAAGATTGTGAGGTACTCAGCTACTACAGTAATGGGGGCTATATAAGTATGTAAACTATAATTTATCAGTTTTGAATTTGTTACTTTTCAGCTTCAGTGTCCTTGTTCTCGTAGTGTGAGGTGAAGAAAAGAAGCTCCCAGTCTACCTTCTCCATAATATTATTTTGTATGCTTTTATTATGTCTCTTCTTACTCATCTCCTTTCTCAGGTAAATAATAGTGCTCTGTTCAATCTCTCTTCATATGAATTTTTCCATTTCTCATATCAGTGCCATCGTCCACCTCTGAACCGCCTCTAATTCTGCAATGTCCTTTTTTAGATGGTTACCAAAACTGAACACTCTATTCCAAGTGAGGGTGAACCATTGATGTATATAATGGCATTATAATATTTTCTATACTGTATTATTCTCTCTCCCATTTTTAATATTTTGTTTGCTTTGTTTTCTACAACTGCACATTGGGCATAGTTCTACAGAGGTTTCTGATACTCAGGTTCTTTTCCTGAGTTGACACAATTAATTTAGAATCCAGTAAATTGTATGAGTAGTTTAATTTTTCCCCTTCAATGTTGATTACTTTACATTTAGGATTTACCAACATCATGTTGCCTATTCACCTAGCTTGGTTAGGTGCCTCTGAAGCTTCTCAGAGTCTTTTTCTGGCCTTGACTAACCTAAATAATTTTGTCTCATCTGCAAAGTTTGCCACCTCATTGCTCAACTCCTTTTGCAGGTTGTCAATGCATTAAATTTTCCTGTTAACGAAAAGTGCTAGAATTCTTAGAACCAAGAATCACTTCCACTGGCATATGTTGCAAATGTTGGTAAACAGACAAAAAGGAATCTTTGATACCTATGGAGAAGTCAAAACAGTCCTGACTCCTGAAATGAGTGGGTATAATTCCTCTTGAAGTTATCTGAGGAGCTGTAAATATTTTTCCAAGGCAGAATTTAACTCTGTGTTTGTAATTTTCAGTGATCAAAAATACGGCAGGTGCTTCAACTCTGAGGTTCTTCCTCAGTACCCATCTGAATGTTTTCTCATGCTGAAAAGAAAAGATGTATGCTCTGGATTATTTTTTTTTTTGGTTGTTCTTTATAAACAAAAGGAAATGATGCACTCCTCCCAAATCAGTTCTGACAAAATAAGTCTTAATTATCTAGATGACCACAATTTCTTAGGAAATTAAAATTAAGTATAAGCAGAGTTAAATACTGGCTAAGGAGTAAAAAGCAGCTGTGCATCTGTTAATTGGCTAAAAACTGATGACTTTCCAGTTATGAGTTTGAAAACTGAATGGTTTCTTCACCAAAAAAAAATAGCAAAATATACCATTTTCATGTCATTTACAGTGTGGTGGTTTTAGGATCCCTAGGGTTCTAATGACTCTGAAAACTTTTAAGAACATAATTTAAAATCTCATTAAAAATATTTCCCCACCCCTGCCAGGAGCCCTGCTATGGGATACAAAACTTAAAGAGCCCAGCACAGTGTATAGTTCTCAGATGCTTGATGCAACTCACTAATTTTACTTCAAGGTCTGACCCAACTCCCATTGACATCCATACAAGTGTTTCAGCTGGTTTAAGGGCAAGTTGGCATGGGCCTGGTGCATTAAAGGTGCAGTTTAATTTATGCACAAGGAGCCTGGAGTAGCACATAGAGCCACATTGCAATGTATGACGACAGGTTTCAGTGGTAGCCGTGTTAGACTGTATCAGCAAAAACAACTAGGAGTCTTTGTGGCACCTTAGAGACTAACAAATTTATTTGGGCATAAGCTTTCGTGGGCTAAAACCCACTTATCGGATGCATGCATTAGCCCACGAAAGTTTATGCCCAAATAGGGTGACCAGACATCCCGATTTTATCGGGACTGTCCCAAAATTTGCTTCTTTGTCCCGCGTCCCAACCAATGTTTGGTTGGGACACTGGACAAAAAAGAAATTTTGCCCTCCGCTCTGGCGCTCGCACCCCCCCTCGCCAGCTCCGCCCTCTCCTTCCCCCATTGGCTCCCTCCCCAAATCCCTCCTCTGGCCCCGCCTCTTCCCCAACCACGCAGCATTCCTCCTCCCTCCCAGGCTTTGCAGCATGGCGGGGCAAGCCTGGAGGGAGGGGGTAGCAGCGGTGCCTGGATCCTGGAGCTGGTGAGTTAGCTCCAGCACCCGGGCACTGGGCGGGTGGGCAAAGGGGAGCTGGCAAGGGAGGGAGACGGGGGGCTCAGCTGTGAGCTCCCCGATGTGCCAGAGGGCTTCTGCCCGGGCCGCCCCGCAGGGCAGCGCGGTGGGTCCGGTCGGGAGCAGCGTGGAGCGGGCAGGGGCCAGGTGGGCGGCGCGGGCCGAATCCCTGCTGCTGCCAGGGAGCCCGCGCCTCTCCCTCCCACTCACAGCTGCGGCTCCTTCCGGCGGGAGGGGCCTCTCGCCGCCCCAGCCACATGCGGCGCGCGTCCCCCACGCCT